TTTATTTAGACAATACGACATGGCCTCTTCATGAACAATTGCCATTCCTACATGACTGCTCCTCAGTTTAGAGGGCCAATAGCCATGCTAATGAACCATGAACCTTCCATCCATCCACACACATACTTAGATCCCTTTGATGTACTCATTGACACATGGCCATGGACCCTCTCTCTAAATTATTCCACCCAGGTCATTGAGATAAATAAGTGTATAGCATGAGAGGGATGTAGGAGTGTGTGAGTGTGTGTGTGTGTGTGTGTGTGTGTGTGTGTGCACGTGTATTCTCTCCTCTGAGATGCTGTAGTGAGCCTATCACGTTCGCTGCTAACTCAATAATCCACCAAGATGACAACAATCAATCAAGAACAGAAAGATCTCTGCCCACCCAGACACACACGCAGGCCCACACACACACACACACACACACACACACACACACACACAAACCCATATGGCACAATTAGCCAACAATTCATAGGAAGCAGGTTACTGGAGAGTGGCGTAGAATTTGATCAAAAGATACCAACGCTCTTCCAGGAATAGTGAGCCGGCTACATAACGGCCCGTAAAAGCCTCCCACCGACCTCCTGCAAGCACAAATGACTCCCTCTAGGGTACGGAATCTCTTAGTGTGTATTTTGGTTTTGGGTGTGTATATGTGGAGAAGCATGTTGCCCACACATACCACTCCTCCCACCATAAATACTAAGCAATTAGGGGGTGGGTACGACAGCAGGATGCAACAAGCCTCTCTATCACCTCCACTACTGCCCATCCTTTTCTCTCCTTTCACACTAGTTGTTTTTTTTATATCTCTATTCCTAGGACTCCGAAACCATCAATTATTCTCTCCTTCAGGCATATGACACCAGGTTATTAACAAGGATCGTAGACCTCAATCTTGCTTTCTGTTAGATGATGTTTGCTCTTGTGTATTCTCTCAGTGTCTGGAGGTGTGCATAAACGAGCAAACACAAACAGAACAATAAAGAACATCGCCTTACAGTATGCTAATATATGTAGCGTATAAGAATATCAAAGTTGTCATTTTAATCATCTCCACTTTCTTTAACATGACATGAAGAAGAAGAAGAGAGAAGCAAGCTACACACGAGAGGATCAGAGTGAACGTGTCTGAGAGGGAAAAATGTTTGATCCGCATCATTTGATAGATAATTAAGATGTGCGTGTGTGCTCAAGATAAGTGGCTGAAATGCACGAGAAACTGTTTGCTTTGCCCGTGCATCCAACTGGGACTTCAAACAGAAAACCCAAACATGTGGCAGGGTGGCCTGACAGTTGTTTATGATTAATAACTCAACTGTGTTGTCACAGGTTTGTGATATGCAGCGGTAGGACACACTTCTGTTGAGGTGTTAGTTGTGAAAGGGAAGAGAGGACCTTAAGCGAGAGGACGGAGGTGACTGGTGACCCTCTCATTTTCACCATAGCCTGCAGATACTATAAATCACATCAGCGTTTGTCTTTTTGTGCATGTCCTCTGCGAAATGTCCTCTGATAACATGTTACTGAATGTGTCATCAGGATCTGTGGCTTTGAAAAGCAGGTCTGTCTGTGTGTGTGTGTGTGTGTGTGTGTGTGAGCCCATTCTGTGTGACTTTAGGCTGCATGAGTCAGTCTCCTCTATGTTCAAGCATATAACTCTGACTCACACATTGAGGCAGGAGGACGACATTGAGGAGTGGCAGGAGATGTGAGGGGTGAATTTCTGCTAACACGTTATCTCCTGTTTTTCTTATCTCAGTGGCTTCGCTAATGGGCTGTTTGTTAGACATACAAGTGCGCATTAGCCAATGATAAAACGATAAAATTCAGAGGGGGAATTTGTATGTAATATCCAAATTACCAGTTCCGTTTCATACGTGCTTTGTACTTTAACTGGCAGACATACTTTACTGTCTGCTGGAAGTCACTGAAAGAGACTGGGCATAATACAGCACATTATAACCAGCCTCTGACTTATTGCCTCTCTTAATGTCTTTCTCTTTCATATAGTTTTGACATATAACAGTTGTTTTGATTTCCCTCACAGATATGGAAATTACCTAGTAGTAACTTCCCCTCCACATACTTGAAATATTAGAGGTTCTCGCAGGTTCACGTGGTTCTAAGCAACCGAGACCTGACCTGCATTCTGAGTCAGACAGAGCCCACATTATACTTATATAGTCTAATCAGGTTTACATATGTCATGGTTCTCCAGTCTGCTTGTCAATATGTCTAATATCTGAGTAGACACGTACAGATCAGAGCGTACTCAGTATCAGTTCTAATCATTGGTAAATCATGATCCTTTTTTTTTAATTCACAGATATTAAATTGGTCAAAAAATGATCCTCTCTGTATATCTAGTGACCAGTTGGCTAGAGATGTTTTTGGTGGTAGTCAGAAGATAAAGATACTTTCAATCATTTTTAGAAATTAGTTTTTGAAGCATATAAACTAAATAATAATTCTACATTATTTTAAGATTGGGTTTTTGTACAGTTTGAACCTGTGAATCACTCTAAGATGTATGTAACCTGTGTTGAGGGGTCACATGTATACACATAGCTTCATTTTAGGGGGCCACCAGACACAAAGTTTGGGAAGCACTGCCCTTGTTCCCTTGTTCTTGGCTTTCTGAGTACAAGAGGAACAGAACGTCTGTCTTACAATCATTTTATACAGTGTACTACCAGCGCATTGAGTAATGAGCGCACTTTGCTACTGGATTAAACAACAGGGAAAGCCGATTAAGGGCTACACACATACTCATAGAACTGTTAATACTCCAAATAACTACTATCCTGAGAGAAATCAAAGCGACTGTTGTATTCCAAAGAGAAAGACTGTCACTGAGACGTTTTTTTATGTGCCATGCTTTGCCCTGGCTTGTCTATACTCTGAGACTCCCAGCAGGCAGTAAAGTACTTCTCAAAAACTTTCTCCAATCCAATTTTTCACCTCTCGCCTGGGTGAAGTCATTATACTCCGGTGCCTGCCTGGTCCTTGTGTAACTAATGGTGCCAATCTCGCTATGTGTGTGATGCCGTGTGTGTGTGGCTTTCATTGGGTGCATGGAGGGTTGGATAGATAGATAGCCCTTGGTGGTGCCTGGTCTAGCAGAGCTGAGACGGGGATTAAGAGGTAGGGTTCCTTCATAAGCCACTTTCTTCTTCACTGTTTGAAATATGGTCTGCAGAGTGAAACACAGCGGCTAGTCCCTTTGTACTTCACTAAGTACCACTTGTTTTAGGTAGTGGTGCTAAACAGACACTGAGTGAAGTGCACACTGCGGCGCTGGTTTTTGCAAAGTAACAATTGAAAGCCTATGAATCAAAGAGCTCTTTATTAAAGATGAAATATGTTAAACATCCAGTGCTCTTAGTGCTAATAACATGCTAATCTCTCAGTGCTGTTGGGAACACACAACACACAAATCCGTCCCACTGAAAGAAACATGATAAAAAGCAAGTGCTTAGAACTGAGTCTCCCTCTGGACACTGGCAAACTACTTCAAAAAATTCACTTTTGTGATCTGTTGTGTTGTAATGTTCTGTCTGTTACTGTGGCTCACTTTAAGATTAAGCTATTTACATCCTCTGGACCGGAGTCTACAATCGATTTCAGTTCAGTTCAGTAGTAGTTGAGGGCGGATGAGTTTAGTTCATTTTAGCTTCATCAGTTCCGTTGAATGAAGCTCCCCCATCTCAGTAAATAGTCCATGTTCAGACCAATTGAGAGCTCTGTCTGGCCCTGTCTGGGTCCGTCGACTAGCCTTGTTAGTGGTTAAAGTGGTCCCGCTCTAAGACACTGATTTTCTTTCTATCTCTGTCTGCTACCTGGTTTCTTAACAAGAGTAAAGAACTAGAATACAGACAAATTAACACGTATAATACAAAATCTCTATCCCCATATATAATCACTCTATGAGCACATAAAAATGCTCATTAATAAATAAAAGTAAAGATGTCCTTGTGGGCTTAAGCCTGGGTGCTTTTTTGCCACTGAGTGCTTTGCAAACTTGGTTTTGCAATTAGCCCCTCAACTAGAAATAATACACACGCATAGGTGTCTGTCTGCATTATAGTTTTATACCACAATGTGTGAAGATTACATATTTTTCATCTGTGAAGACACTTGACATGTCACAGTGAAGAAAAATGAACTATGACTGAATTCCATTCAGCTCCTTCACTTCCACAGCCTACTGGGATACTTGAATATACCACAGCCAGAGTTAATATTATTAGTAACACCTGTGTTTT